CACATTGCGCTGACGTTCCGTTAAATTCATATCAATTATCCGTTTGTACATTGCGTCCCGCACTGTTTTCTCACCTGCAAGCCACGGCGCATGAATATGTCATTAGTGTTTGTCCTGACGCGGTACGCATCGAGCAAATACTGAAATAAACAAGTTCGATAGCAATCCGTCTACACTATATTCTCGAGCCTAAGTGTGACAATATCGAAACTCAAATGATAAAATCGAGGTGGCTCGTTGTCACGCATCCGCCAGTCCGGCGCATGAGACGCGGGTTCAAATTCCGTATCGTGTGCCTAATATTTTTCATTTAAGAGGACGCTACACCCGCAAATATGTTGTCTCCGTCTTACAAGTGCGTAACATAGCAAATTTTATGCTCAGCAGATCACGTTTAGCTCCGTTAGTTTAAAATTTAGAGTAAATTAACTTCTTACAAAAATTAAAGGTAACATTATTATCGAGGGCATGACGTAGGCTGTTTATTATATTTTAATTTTAAAGTGAGTTATGTGTATTTTAAGATATACAAACAATTTTAAATTTTAAAATACACATAACTCACTTTAAAATTAAAATATAATAAAAAGCCTACGTCATGCCCTCGATAATAATGTTACCTTTAATTTTTGTAAGAGGTCAATTTACTCTAAATTTTAAACTAACGGAGCTAAACGTGATCTGCTGAGCATAAAATTTGSTATGTTACGCACTTGTAAGACGGAGACAACGTAGTATGCGGGTGTAGCGTCCTCTTAATATTCACAATCATAATATTCTCTCTCAAGACCGGCCAAAACACTATGAGAGAGACTGTGCCAGTCACAGCTGGTGCGGGCGGTATTTATTATCTGACCATGCTGTTCCGAACGCAGTACGCGGTACGCCCACATGCAGCGAAAAATACGCCAGCACCGCTTATTATTATTTTTTATGATGCGGGTGTGAATTTCGTCATGCAAATTCATGCTAATCACATGCTAATTTTCTGTAAAAGAAAAAAATGTACAATTTTAAAATTGGTCGTGCTGTCTAATACCTATATACAGTTGTATATTTGCGTGATGCTAATAATCTGATAAGATGGGCGTAATGGTCTTTTTCCAATGGTTGCGCCGAACGCAACGTAACATTATTCGTTCACCGTCCCAGCGTGTGCCGCCTTAGAACCTCATCGTGAGGAATCGAGACTGCGATTGTTTTTTTTTTTTTTTGTCTTTGCTCAGCCGTCATTCTCGACTCATAAGCGAGTTATCGAGTTTTTTGTTTTCCATCAGGCAGCACCAATATGCGCTCATTCTAACCCGTTAGATAGAATGCTTCGCCTACTCAATAGCTCCTGATCAGTAGCTGACTATATGTTTATGTTTATCTCCACTGATTGTTTTCGACTTTAGTTTTACTTTACTTTAGCTTATACTCTTTATAGCTTAACACTGTTTAATATAAGTTTAAACTTAAGTCTTTAATTATAACTACTAGCTATTTTCCATGTATATTATTTATATATTATTTCATTACTATCTTTTCTTGTTAATCTACTAATATTATTGCAATGTATCTATAAATTGCCGTTTGGCGTTAAATAAATAATATGTGCTCATAATATGGCCACTCAATATGACGTATAACGAGGCGTAATAATGTATTTTATAATATTACCGAGATCAGCTGACATACCCGATTTGTCATGATAGACACTAGCTACACATCAATAACTATTGTACAGGTCATCAGCGTGCGGTTTGGTCGTCGTCGTCGATGTACGTGATGTTCCGGGAACTGCGACCGTTTTACGCGAATGTGTATACATGCAAAGTCCGCGCGTAATATCAGAGAGGCAATTGGTCGCCTGTCCGCTGTCCGCCGTTTCAGCGAAGTGCCACCAGCCACGCGTATAGCTGTATTATAGTCGCCGTCACCATTCAGGTCATATACATATATGTTTTTTACGAAATTTTCTCCATGACGTGTTCAGTGGGCCACACCAAATGGTATTTTATATGTTTAGTTGTCGCTGTAATATAGTATTTAGTTCATAAGAAATATTATTGGGGCGTTGGTAAACTATAACGATACTATTATATAGTAAAATGTTTGGTACACATATGAAATAAAATATCATTGTGTACGCCATACCAACGTTTAAGGTTTATTGTTTTTGGGTAACTTTTCTACGCTCCCGAACACAACACAATATTAGTGGGTCGTTGCCGACAACCATAACAATCTTAGGATTGGTAACGGTGCGTAAAATAAAATTATGCGTTGAGGCCCAAAACGGTACAGAATTACTCAAAACATAAAAATTAACGATAATTCATAAAAAATCAACAAAACACAACACAACAAAGGAAAAAATAGCATACCAACACAGTGTATAGACATTAAATGGACAAATATTATTAACATAAAAACAACGAAACCTGAGCATAACTAAATTAGCGATATGACCAACAAGCCAACACAAACGTTCTGCAAAAACGTAACATGAACCAATACAGTATAATATAGCATTATATAATTATTAAATATTTTAACCATTTAATCGCCAGCCGGTCACATCAATTGTAAATATACCTAGGTAATATAAATACACTTACATGCTACAAAGCTACAATATTATGATTAAAATTTCTTAAAATAACAATAATTTTGATTATACGACTTATTAGTTATTATATAAATGTTAATAAATACGTATCTTTGTATAATAAATGGTTTAAATGTATAGATTATAGTTTATTAAGTATTTTATATCCTCGTTTCTTGAACAGATACTTTGCTAGATACTTGAATGTAAGTTATAAGTTTATAACTAGGTATTGAAAATAAGAAATTTAAAACGTAAGTATACCTACTAAAACATATATTAATCGATGATTGATAATAAACAATATGCATATAACTGAATCCATACAAATGTAAGCTCTTGAGATAAATTTTTGAAAAAAAATTCATAACTGTGAGTCTTAACACTAGTTATAGACTACAAAATTGTTAGTTTTAGCTACTATAGCCTATAGGGACTGAAAATGGTTTTTAGAGTGACAATTTTATAATGTTACTTAATTTATAATACAAAAGAAGCGTAGTTTGAACTTTGAGCTTCCATGCTGGTATTTACCTTTAATGTGCATGAATATCTATCTAAGTTTAATCAAACTGTAGTAAGGAGGTATAAAATCTTTGTAAGTTATCGTTCAGTATTAAAATTATTTTATAATTAATTACAAACTGAAGTAATTATGAATATTTTTTGCAAATACGAATTTTTAATTTTTATCTTTCGCGTATATTTTGTGGTTTACTCTATACTCCCTTACCAACGCGGCAACGCGGCAACGCGATATTATAACTTCTATAGATCAACTTCTCAATTTCATTAACGAAACGGTATTCAATAGGTACCTATTCAGTTTTTAGCAGCTAAAGCTTAAAAATAAAATAGTTTAGCACAATAAATCATGCATGCACTATGCAGACAAAACTAAAATTTAATAAGTACATATTATTATAATATCTTGAAGAAATATTAATATAATTATTGTTCGATTTGATTTTTATGCAAATTGATTAATTCTTTTCAAATCATCAGCATAAATAATATGCAAAATTCAAAACGAACGAAAATATGAGGCTATCGAAATATAATATATTATCTGAGTAAGAGGATGGATTACGACAGTGTATTATGAGATATTAACAATTAAATAAACAAATTTTTCCTAATTTCAGAGATAAAAATGTCTTTATAAAGTTCCGGAAAATGCACATCTACACGCGTAACTACTTAAATACCTTTAAGAATTAAGAATACCGTCTATATTATTACGATGCGATACGAGCAAACGAATGGGTAAACCGAATCGTACCTATTATAATAGCTATTATATTTAACTTATTGATCCTTATTCGGCTAAAAATGAAAATAAGAACACGGAATACACGTAAATATAATTATTAGTGTGCAGAAGTACTTTAAACTTACAATTTACAAGTACCTATAATATTTTTGTCTTATAATAGCATTAATAGCCCATTTTAAGAATAAATAGTTTTCATAACATAATATTATAATATGATTATCTAATACAATAATAATATTATTGTCATCGGACTAGCTAGATTGTCTGTCTTATACCTGTTACAGCTGCTGTACCTATTTGTAAACATGTTGTCACCCGTCGTCGTATCACCCACGTTATGTAATGTGTATTTTTAGTGTGCGTGTGTATGGATGTATGGCACTGAGGGAAAACGGTGGAGACGAAGGACGGTCTCGATTCTCAAGCCGCCGGTAAACGAAGAGGAAAGATTATAATATATATACACTGATTTTATTTTAACGAAACGATCGTTTATTGTTTTTATTTTAAACGTTTTCTCTTATTGTTCTAAAATAACACAGCACTTAAAATAGATACATTACACTAACTGACTCGTTTTGTTTAATATATGTATATATATAATATATAATACATGATCATGTGACGTACCTAAAAATATAATTTATTAATTGTATTATCATATTATCATCATTTATGTATAATTTATATAAAACATCATAATGAAGAGGTGTACAAGGAATACATTTAACAACATATTATTATGTTATATATAAACAGCGAATTTATATTATAAATTAAATATAATTATTTAAGTTAAAGAATTATTACATTCTGTTTTTTCTCTACGAACGTTCAATAATAATAATAATAATAATAAGTATATACACAGTATTCTACATGACGTCTTCTAAAGACTACGGCAATAAAAAATAATAATAATAATAAAACAATAATATGATAAGAATATTTGGTAACGAGAATCATATTTTATAAATATGATAATATTAAAATAATAAAGGCTATGTACAATATTATAATAGTATTGATGATAAATAACAGTTATAATAATAATAATAATTAATAATATCAATGTATTCTATAATAATTCAATATATTGTACTATTATTATTATTATTACTATTACAATAATATACTAAATCGTATTTATAAGATATAAATAAGWATGTGTTTATTATATAGGTATTGTGTATTATACAACAGTATTATAATAGGGTTGTTGGACAAATTGGGACTAGATGAGAAATCAACACCGGCTATATGCATCAGTGCAATTCGTTTGCTTGACGGCTTTACGAATCTTCAATATTGCTGAAAATACAAATTGAACACAAAGATTAAAATTATGTTTGAATAATGATAGCAAAACAAATAAATTATGTATTAAATTCAATTAGACTAAAAAAAAAATCATAATATTATTAAGAATTTCGGTAATCTAATAATACAAATAATTACAATGTACAATGTAAATGTAGATACTTGTATTTAATTGATAGATACAATAATAATAATAATACTATTACCACCGTGTATAATGTTTATTAAATTCTTATAGTAGTTACACTCAAGTAGATTAATATTTAATTTAAAATTGTTGTACCAAATTAATGGTCATAATGATATGTTAAAAAACCAAATTATCAGAAACCCATCATGGAATGAATGAGTCAATGGGGCGCAGCGCAACATAAGTAGTACCAGAGGCGTAGTCAAGGGGGGTCGTATCCCATTTCGCCGCGGTACCATTTCGCCGCCAAATTAATCCCATTTTGCCGCCGACCTATTTCGCCGCATAAAATTATTTTTGTCTTAAAACATGGTAATGAATTTGTGATTTGAAAAGTGATAAATAGACACAGAGAAATATTTATCGTTTGAAATGATCTAAGTGAATTACTATCTCAATTCTGAAGTTATCAATTGATAAATCCCCAATAGTTATATAAATAAAATAGAATGAATATTGAATAGTGTGTCGTCGCAGCGATAACTGTAAAGTCAACACAGTCAGTGTCGTATGATCTTGTACGTATTTGCACATTTACAGTTCACAATTTTTTAAATAATAATGTCGAATATTGAATATATTTCTACACAGCGAAAAGGGGAATGCCTTATTTTCAATAACT